TTCCCTGCTCTTAGCAGGGGCATGACTAGCACTCTAACCGGCCATCCCTCCAATGTCCGGCTGAAAATTAGGCTCCGACCGGCACGACACGATCTGGCTGTGAGCTACCGGCGTGCAGAGCGGTGGCGGAAACGTGCTGCGAGATTTCAGGCTCACAGGTACCAGTGTAGCAATTTATATACTGTAAGTGTAGCATTTTTAAAGATCCAATGGTAGACTCCTCTCGTGAGATTGTTGTTGAGATGCACCAAGACGTTGACAAGGACTTACACAGTTTGGCGCAGAAGGCCTGGGGAGACCCATGCCAGTGCATGAAAATGCTGGTGAGAGCAAAATAAAGTTGTTTTCCCTTCAGATGGGGTTGACTGATTGAGGTCTAACGGTCTTAAAAATAATGTGGTGTTGTTCTGTGGTTGCGGAGTTTTGCGGACCTTGAACCAGAACCAGAACCGCACCGAGCCCGAATTTTTCCCCGTTCAACTGGTCAGCTGTGTGACTCACCGCCGGATGCATGCACGAATCACAAGGGATTGTCCTGAGGCCTTAGATGGGTTACTCCTTGCATGGGTCACCTACCACCATGTGCCTCCGAAAGAAAGGACGAAACATCAAAACATATCAAATGACTCAGCTTGATCACGTCATGAAGACCTGTGTTGATTTGACGGATTTCTTGCCATCAGACCTGTGAGATCGTTTGACCTGTTTCAGCCACCCCCAATGGCCGATGGACAACCCTTGCAAGCAAGCTGTCAAAGCGTCCAAAGGTTCCAGTGGTGTAGCTGCCGACAGGTTATTTCAGTGAAATCTTGATTCGCCCAGGATAGAGATTGTACCCCAAGGATCCTCCAGGCACGAGAGAAAACAGAGAAAACATGGTAAAACCGGACTGTTTTTGGACCTCCTTTAATTATGAAGAGGCTATGTATAGACACCTCTTGGAAGGTTCTGGTAGAGGGCTTTTTGTTGGGTAGTATATTGCCCTGTATATAGATGAAATACACGTCACTAGTCGTGGACACTGGACACTGCAAAAACAACCAAGCCGACAAGCCAGAGATTACAATCGACGATAAAGTTCCACTCATTGAGATGTTCATATTATGTTCTTTTCATGTCCCACTGTCTTTAACTGTTCGACTGGTATTAGGCAGACCATTCCCTCGGGGCAGGGCATGCGGGCATCGATGGCATATATATCAGATCTGAGGGCATTGAGTAGATCTAAGTGCACCTGGCGCAGGACCAAATGATGAAGATTCCAATTTTTCCAATTGGCCCAACTATTCTTGAAGTGCATCAGGTCTTACTTGCACTTCCTCTGTTTTCAGTCAAGTGTCCGGACCGATTCCATCCGCTGTCCTAGACTAGATCTGCCACCTTTTGAACGCAGATGATTCAACTAAGACAGACACATCCAGCACATCCAGGCACAAAAGCATATAGACAAACCATGAAAGACCTATGAACAACAGATCGTTGGATCGGAGAAGTTCACTGGAACCCAGGTCTGCTTTGTGTGTCATTAGGCCCGAAGAAACTTCTGAGGCGAGTTCTGTCAATGCACCGCGTTTCAAGACTCATCCGGGTCGGCCAACTGATTTCGGGCGCAAAGAACGACCAGAACGGCCAGGATTTGGGGCGGAGATTAGAGTTAGAGTTGTGTAAGCACTGCATGGCTCCATCCACAGAGATCAGGTAGCAGCCCACAAGCATTTCATGTATGGAATGCATGGACCCTGTATTCGTACTCCTAAAGCTGGGTACAAGTAGCTGCTTTTAATGGGGTCCCATTTTCCTGGATGGATGTAAATATGCCAGTCTGAGGGAGTATGGTTCTTTTGTTCTTTTTTGTCAGTGACGCAACTACCTCTGTTCAATTCCGACATCCTCAGCTGGAGTAGAGTGTTTTGCCAGTGGAGTGACTCTATCATAGCATAGGCTACTTTGTCGCAATTATTTAGGGGGAGTCGAGTGAACCCCACTTATCCAACCCCCCTATTTCCTCGTAAGTAGCGTCCACCCCCCGATGGCAGCCACACTGCATGGCATGGCAGCCGCGGGTGCGCGCGCGCCGCCGGGCCGTGCTCCTTCTCTTCTTCTGGGGGCGGCGTGCGGGCGCGGTACCCTGCGGACGGACAGGTCCGGCATGCAGTACGCAGGGGGGAGTCGATACATCAGACCGGGTCCGGGATGCGCAGGGGGGAGTCGAACCTGCAGCCTGGACACTCCTGACGGCCCCAGCGCTCTAGAAAAATGAGCTGTCAACGAAGCGCGGGCTTTCGTCCAAGTGACGGCGGACCGACATCGCCCACCGCTACACCGGAGTCCCTCAGGAACACGCCGGCCCTCCTCCGCTCACGCTCACGTTCATCGGCCTAGACCGGGGTCGGCTGGATTATACAGTATATATCCATCTTTACAAATAAGTCACATGCACTCTGGTTTCGCCCTCCTGTCCAAGAACAAGTTTCCGGTGAGGCACTCCTCGTTTGTTTTGATCGTTGACCCGCAAAAAGGGCTCTGGGTATAGACCTCAAAATTGCTTGTAGATTGGGGGTGCAGAGAACGTGGAAGATCTTGGGAAAGTCTTCTGCCCCAAAAGCGGCCTTTTCCCGAACAAGCGGTCCCCGGACGCCCTTGGGAGCAACGCGCCCTCGGTCTCGACCTCCGCTAGCGCGCGGCGCCGTCGCATGACGGCGGTCGGCGGGGCGGAGGGCCCCGGGAGGTTCCAACGCCGTGGGGCGAAGCAAAAGTGTGAGGGATCGGACGGTGCATCGAGATGGTGGAGCAAGGCTCCCCAAACAAATTTCAAACAGCTTCACTCATGGATACGGCTTAATTGTTCATGAACAGCTTACATTGAGCGGAGGTCTTGGTGGAACTGGTGGAGTTTCTGTGTTTAGGGTGGATGGGAGAAGGGTGGCCGGCCCAAATTGAGTCTGGATGATTTTCATGTTTTTGAGTCCGAGATTGCTAGCAGGTTGAAGCAGCCTAAAACATTACATGTTGCAGAACTGTTCCTTTTGGGTGTTCAACCCACTAAACTGCAGGGACTATCCTCTGCCCAACTAACTTTGGCGTTGGCCTCATATTAAACAAAATACCAAAAGACGATGTCGATGTCAGTTGGACAGAATTCGTCTCAAAGTGTTTGTGTCTATCTCCCCAGCCTTCTCCTAGCCTTCGCCCTGTTGTTGCCTGCGGCGCAGATTGATGAGCAAGGCCAGTACAGCGGAGAGTTCTACACCTTCGCCCTGGCAGGCGGCAGCTGTCCAGCGCAGCTCGTGTCGAAGCCGGTGGAACCGCTGTGAAAAGCAGCAGCACTCGACCATTGAACAATTGTGGGAAAGGAGCTGGTTTGGTCGTGCAAAATCAATAAAATCAGGACTGTTGGGTAAAACCATGTATGCAAGCCCATTCATTATGGATCAATGGTGGTTGGAAGCTTAGGGCTTTTGGGACCCCAACAAAGGCATCGTGCCGCATTAACCGGACGCGAGATCATTTGGAGTGGTTTACCGGGTGGTTTGAGCCACAGGTTCCCAGTGTGGAGGAGTGACTGCTGGTTTTCAGGACCCATCCAGTGTGTCGGTTTTTGCGCCCGCGACCCGTTCGGTTGGGGAAATAGACACAAAGCAGCCGATCTAACCATTGGGGCGATCGGGGGTCGCCCTATTCAAAAAACACACGGAACCTTTCGAAGGTGCTCCCCGCTGGGACTCGAAACGTGCTTTTCTCCTTCAGCACCGCTCACGAAGCGAAGCGATGAGAGGCTTCATCCGCCAGCGGGGGGAGAGTGATGCCTGCCTGAACCGATTGCTCCATGAGAAGGGCCTGCTGACCTTCTCCAAGTGAGGCGGGAGAAGGGCGGAGCAACAACCCGTGCTTCTGACATTGTGTGGGACTGCTGGGTGGCTGAAGGGGGCTTGCCTTGCTATACTATACATTCAAGAAAACGGTGAGTCACAACAGATCAAAACCGTTATCGCCTAAGAAACTTACCAGCTGCTTGTCCCACCCGCCCGTCACTTCTCTAGTTAGTAGTTTCAGTGGTCCACATTGAAAAATAGAGGTCTCGATTGGAACACTTCGACTTGAACCCATGAGATTGCTGCTGGACACCGCAATCCCAAACGGTGCAGGAAGCCTTTACAGTTGCTGGAGCCGAACGGAGACGCAAAAAAGCAGAGCGACAGGGATCGCATGAGCGACAGGGATCGCATGCTTTTTCATTTCCACCATTCCCACAAACATCCAGCGACCTTTTCTAGGGTGCCAGCGACCAATATGCAGGGTTGCAGTTTTGGAACGACATCTTCATCAAATCGGGGGAACACGATACCTTCTTGACACATGTGGACTGCCTTTTCAGCTTCCTGCTAACCTCAGAGCCACACCGGCCGGCTAAACCTATGGTGCTACTCGTACGCTGGCCTGGACATAGTTTTGCGCAACTGCTGCGTACATTCTAAGAGAAAGTATATACAGTTTATGTTTAGACGTTTATATAAACTCTGAAGGAACTTGAAGAACCCGCAAAGCGACACCTGACGTGGATCAGGATGTTGCAAAAACTGCACGAGATGGGCACAGTTGTTGGAGCAATCCTCGAAAAAAAGATTCACATCGGATGGAGGTCTCATGTCAGGAGGTAGGGCCAGCTAGGGCCAGCTAGGGCCTATAGAGTTGTTGTCTTCAGAACCATTACGTACATCTGCTATAAGCAATGTGTCATAAGAACCAAATAGAACCAAACATGAAGGAAGGAGTGCCCAAAGTTGATGATACACCCAAGAACCGCGATGGCAGCTCGTTTCCAAAATATAGGCTGACAACGGTTTGCTTGGAGATCCATGGGTTCAGGCATGTTTGGGCCAAAAGTCAATCAGCCAAATGTGGGTTCTCAAACTCTCACGCACCTGGACCCGAAGGGAGACGAGCCTCTCCATCCAACGCGTTTCCATGTGTGTGTGTTCCCATGTGTCTGTTCGTTTGAGGCCCGGCCTTGTCCTTCAAGGAGCAGGGCGAGTTGCTGTTCAGCCTCGTGCAGTCTGGAAGCCCGATCGCTCGGGAGGCGAGGGAGAGAAGACGGGTCCAGGCAGTCCGGAGTCCGGAGTCCGGACCGGATCCCCAGGTCAGGTTGGGGCCTTCAAAAGAGCTGGGCTCACGCCCGTGAGGGCCTACAGAAGCACTTGAGAATTCGAAGCACTGAAGAGTGGAGAAAGTCACCGCGATTCTGGAGGTGAACAGAGCTCTCAGGCTGCCTTGGACTGGTCTGAAAACTGCACAGAGCGAGCACCCGAAAGCATTGAGAGGGCCAGTTGATTTTGGCCTTGAGGCCCACAACCTGCTGTGCCTTCCTGTCTTGCTTGGTCTGTGGACCAGCGACCAGCGACCAGAAGATGCTGTCACTGCTCAAACGATCTATAGTAGGCATAATAGCACTTCCATCCCCGCGTATGGCAAGACTTAGCACTAAGAAAAGACGATGCAAAAACGAGGACATCAGCTTGTCCTCCATCATACCATGAAAAACCACCCCCCCAAATGATCCCCAGTGTACTTCTGGTGACTCTGCCGCGCTTTCGCGCAAGCGAAGGACTGGCGCGTCACCAGACTCGATAGGCCGCTAGCTGGTGGAAGGTTGGCTGGCTGACATGAAAGAGTCCGGATGACTACTTGGCTGATCTTGGCTGAAGGTTGGGAGCAGTTTTGTTTCAGCACAAGTGCTGAAAAGGAGTTGAACTTTCTACAGTCGTACCCACTCTGGAGCTGACTTTGGGTGAGAAGAAATCACTGCAGATCTGATGATTGGTGCAGGATGTCAACCAAACCCTTGCTGAATCCATCGAATCTTGAGGTGTTGATCCATCAAGACGACCTGGGATAATAGACCGGTGGACAAACGAATGAACATGCTTCTTGATGCTTCTTGTATCCAAAAGGACTGCTACTTGACGTCTTCGGCTTGAGTGAGATCAATACTTCTATAGCTTTTCACATCCTTTTGGAGTGATGTGTATGTTCAATTACTTTTTGCAGAATGCTGTACTGTATATTTCAAGGCTTACGCCTAACAGCCGGGCGCCGGCCCACTTGGGTGTGTGGGGCGTATGTCACGCCTATGTTGGCCTTGGTGGGGCCTATATTGAGCAAAGTTAAGCTATCTGGTGCGCATCTTGGCCCTAGGTTGGGCCAAGTGGGGCCCATGTGGTGTATGTTGGGCACATCGTGGGCCCATGTTGAGCCTATGTTGGGCCTATGTTGGCCTATGTTAGGCCTATGTTGGCCTATGTTGGCCTGGGTTGGGCCTATGTTGGGCCTATGTTGGCGTCTGTTGGCCCCAAGTTGGCCTATGTTGGCCCTATGTTGAGCCATCTTGGAG